CTCCCATGACTCTCCCCAAGTCCACTGAGAGGGGAGGTCCTCCTCCCCTTCCCTCTGACCCTAGACTATCAGGTCTCATCAGGAATGAATGCATTGTCTTCCTTTGTGGCCTGGTAAGGCTGCTCCCCACTCAGGGGATCAAAGAGCCAGTCACTGAGTTCCTGTCAGAGACAGTCCCTGTTCCCATTACTAGGGCACCCACTTGGACACTGAGTTGCTATGGGCTACATCTATGCAGGGGTTCTAGGTTATCTCCATGCATGGTCCTTGGTTGGAGTATCAGTCTCAGAATAGACCCCTGGGCCCAGATTTCTTGGTTCTGTTGATCTTCCTGTGGAGCTCCTGTCCTTCTGTTTACTTCTTATGCTGCTTCTACTGGACAAAACAGAGGTGTCAGCAGTAACCACAACTTCATTAGGCACGGCACAGAGAAAAATCTCTAGGTTGTTGAGGGACATTAGTGGTATTATCATAGTTCTGCCTCAGAGTATCTTGTAGCATTTTTCCAACATGTTTTTAGGTTTGTATTCATGGTGCAGGTTAATCCATTTGCAAACCTACCTCTCAGGCCATAATGTTGGCTTGCAAAATAGGCACCACACTTGTACTATTTAGTTAATAACTAAGAACCTTCAATTATTTTACAATTGTGTTGATGAGTACAGTTTGCCTTGTCCATGAAAATGACAATCCTTTTCCAGATAACTTATACTTTGATTATTCCCTTTGTAGAAAAAAAAAAAAAGACTTATTTGTTTTATGTATAATTTTTGTTTTTAAATCATCTTAAATCTTATGGTCTCATAATTTGCAAATACTCATCTTCAGTTTTTAAAAAGTTTTTAAATCAATTATTAATATTTTTCAAGTATTTAAAGCTTTTATTTTTAGAAGTCCTATATAATTCATTCTCATTTCATCTTCTTTTAGTCTCGCCTTTGCTTTTGTTGTTGTTTGCTTTGAGAAGAGTTTTACAATGCAGCCCTGTGAAGGGATAGCAACCCTAGCAACCCTCTTCCTCTGCATCTCAAATGCTAGGATTATAGGCATGTCCACACTTCTGGGTTTAGCCTTATTTCTTCTAAAACTGTAACAATATTAATTTTCTTGACAATTTACATAGTTAAAGCCTTTGTGGGTTAGTTTCTGCTAATTCTTGTGCTTTGTGGCAAATTTCCTTCTGTGTTTTATGATTTTTTACAAGTATGTGTGTGTGTGTGTGTGTGTGTGTGCATGTGTGTGCATTTGCATGTGTGGGGTACATGAGTTTGTATGCCTGTGCATATATGTATACATGTAGAGAACAGAAATTAACGCCAGGTGTCTTTCTCTATTATTTACCCCCCCTTTTTTTTGCTTGTTTGTTTGATGTAGGGTCCCTTGCTGCCCCCGAAGCTTGCTGATTCAGTCTAGCCAGCCAGCTTGCCTGCTAGCCTCTCCCTCTCTGAGGGAGACCCTGTCTCTGCCTCCTAAGCACTAGGGTTACAGGCAGGCCACTGCCCCTGACCAGCATTATGTATGTGCTAGACATCTGAACTCAGTTACTCACAGGTTTGTAATGAGCACTTGACCCACTGAGCCATGGAATTTGTGACTTTTGATAGTGACTTAGTAATCCTGGCATTTGTCTGTCAGATTTTTTTTATTTTAACCTGGAGTCAAGGCACCTTTCATCTCAGAGGGTTTGTGCTAACTTTTCCCAAACCCTCTCAGAGCACTACCAACCTGGCATCACCTTCAACATAGTCTCACCTTGAAGTTTTTTGGGGGCCATGTGGGTAGTGTAAATTCAGGCTGTAATTCGCTCTGGGTCAACTAATGGTTGTAAACTTTGATGGGCTATTTCTCCTTCAGTTAGTGCCATAGAAAAACAGCCTGAGTTTTCCCAGAGTTCTCTTAGCAGTGTGGAGAGGGTTCGTGGTCACACAGAACAAGTGTAGAAATTCACCCTCTTTTTGTTGTTGTTGTTATGTTTTGTTGAGACAGGGTTTCTTTGTGTAGCTTTGGCTGTCCTGGACTCACTTCGTAGACCAGGCTGGCCTCAAACTCACAAACTATGCCTCCCATAGTGCTGGGATTACAGGTGTTTGCCAGCCTGCCCAGCTCTTTGCATCTGACATGATGGTAGCTCCTGTCAACAGAGTGGAAGGATCACAGGAGGAACGTTTTGTTTTGAGTGTGTTCTACCATGGCAGCACCCACAGCTTCTCTAACACCAGGTAACCAACCTCCTGGGTTATAGACGGCTCCTCCAGCACCCTCTGCAGACAGGAGCTTCCCCACCGCTGGCATGGATTGCTTGTTCCTCAAATATTTGGCTGTGGACAACTTTCCCTTGTCCTTGTTTTTATCTTATTGTCAGGGCTGGCTGATATCAACTATATCTATAGTCTTTATAACTCTGTTTCTCACTAGCAATTTCTCACTAGTCAGATCTTCTCTTTCAGCTGGTAAGTCTTTATATTAATCTTTTTCTGTTCATTTTATTGTGTTTACCCCCGTTCTAATTCTACATGAAGAATTCTTTTATCTGACGATCTCTTACCCCGTCAAGAATCATCTCACTATTATCATTAGGTTTAGTTGCATTAGAATGAAACATATGAAAATGATATTTTTGCTAGACAGACATGGTAGGTAGTATGCACCTATAATCCCTGATAGGCTGAGGCAGGAGGATAACACATTTGAGACCTGCTTGCCTTACATCGCAAGTTCAAAGACTGTGCAATATAAAGAGAGCCCGCCTCAAATTTTTAATTTAACTTAACTTTTTATTTGTAGGTAAGAAAATCGTTCAATATTGGCAATTTGAAATAATTTGAACTAATATTTGTGTGTGGTTCCTCCTGCAGATCTCTAACAGCACTTATCCTGCTAATTGAAGATATCAGTTTTTAAAATAATGTCACTTACTGTAAGATTGCAAACTCTTGGGAACAATTTTTAGTCTTTTATAGCTCATGTGTAAATGCCTACCCCAATTCATAGTTAATTACTATATACTCAAAAAAATATACTTGTTGAACTAACTGAATAGTGGGAAGTCATTTAGCCTCTTCAATCTTAAATTTCTTTCTCTTTTGACTGGGATTATTAACACCTGTTCTATCTAATGCTAAAGTTCTTAAAAATAAAATAAATGCATATTGGTTCCTACTTCCTTAGTGTATTGGAAGGCAGATCACATCACTAAATGTGTTGCCTCATGTAAGAAACTATTATTTTTTATAATATGATTTGATTTTTTTTCTCCTTTTCCTCCTTCCTTCTTCCCTCCCTTCCTCCCTTCCTCCCTTCCTCCCTCCCTCCCTCCCTCCCTCCCTCCCTTCCTTCCTTCCTTCCTTCCTTCCTTCCTTCCTTTCTTCCTTCCTTCCTTCCTTCCTTTCTCTCTCTCTTTCTCTCTCTCTCTCTTTCTCTGGCTGTCCTGAAACTTTGCTCTGTAGACCAGGCTGGCCTTTAACTCACAGATCCATCTCTCAAGTGCTGGGACTAAAGGCGTGTGCCATGACCACCCCATGTTTGATATTCCAAATATAAATAAATGTAGAATTGAAATATATTTTGTTCATTTATATTTTTCAAATATAAGTAATTGTAGAATTACTTTTTAAAACACACCATATATTTAAATATAAAATACATTAAAAATCCTACTACTAGCTGGATGTGGTTACATGTCTTTGATCCTCCCACTCAGGAAGGTTGAGGCAGGCAGTTCAAGTTCAGCCTGGTCTACAAAGCAAGTCCAGCACTGCCAAGGCTACACAGAGAAACCCTGTCTCAAAAAGGAAACAAAACAAAACAAATGATTCTACTACTTACAGATAAAGCTACCAATATTTCATGCCTTTATTCTTAACACTTTGGTGAACATTGCGAAAACTAGGATTAGATTTAAAAAAAAAAAACAAAAAACTATAGAGTTAAGAAAGCTGAAATCTGCCTTTTCCAACCAAAGGACTGCTGTGAGCATTTTACTCTCTCTTTAAATACTTTTTGAAAAATGTTTCATCAGCTGGGCGGTGGTGGTCCACACCTTTAATCTCAGCACTTGGGAGGCAGAGGCAGGCATCTGCCAGCCTGGTTACAGAGTGAGTTTCAGGGCAGCCATGGCTACACAGAGAAACCCTGTCACAAACAAACGTTTTTAGTCATTCTATTATATGAAACACCATCAAAAATTTATCCAACTAATTATACAAAATATACAACTTACGTTTTAATTTCTCTAACTACTGTGGTATTAAGGTAAGCATCTTTAGAAGTATTTATGTACATCTTTTATTGTTTCCTTAAATGAAATTTGAAGAAAGATATGGTGGGCTAAAGCGTATGAACAATTTTCATGTTTTTTCTTAATTGTTGCCAAATTTCTGTCCAGAAATCACACAATGTGTACTTCCAAATGAGAAAACATTTGAATATATATTCAATAAGGAGATGGGTTAGAAAGAAAATGAACAATTTAGTTGTTGGGAATATCATTTTGTTTTGTTATATTTCTTCTATTCTAGTAAGTTATGCACGTTTTGGTATTTAGTAGTCTGTAATTTTTTTTTTTTTGATGTTAAGTCTCTGCGTGTACCTTTTTAAAAATTTAAGAATGATTAAAAATACCATCATTTTTTGGGTGGGCATTATATTCGGTGAAATTAAATCAATGTGCTTAGAAATTAATAATAAATATAGGATTTTAATATTTCATTTTTTATTTTTACAGTTTTATATGTACTGTGGCTATGAACGTTTTTTTCATGTATTTTCAATTTTTTCTTAATAATTAAAAAAATTAAGTTCATGAGATTTTATATATTTATACAGTGAAAAAAAGGTTGGTTTTTTTTTTTTTTTGTTTGTTTGTTTGTTTTTGTTTTTTTCTGTTTTGAGATAGAATTGAATTTTAAGCTGTGGCCCAGGATGGCCTAGAACTCACTCTATAGTTCAGGCTGCTCCAGACTTGCAGCAATTTTCCTGACACCACCTCCCAGGTGCTCTAACTCAGGTGTGAGGCACTGCACCAGGAGAGTCAAGTATCTGAATTATGTACTGATCTGTAATTCTTCTTAGTGCTTCTTGCATTGATGTTTTTCCTGATTTTTTATTTTTTTTTATTTTTGAGATTATACGATCACACCATTTCTCCCTTCCCTTTCTGCCCTCCAAATTCTCCCACATACAACAAAAACAACAGCTTCTTCATCCAACTGTGTGGGTGAAAGGCACAAACTTGTTTTGCTTCAACCCAAGAGGTTGGCGAAGGCCAGACTGTCAGATAAATAGAAGTAGGAGAAAAGTCCAGGGGCTGAAGGACTGTCCAATTAAGGGGGTAAAGACACTGTCCTTATCCTGATGGGACCCTCCAGGCTCCTCCTGCCTGGCAGGGACTGGAGAGCAGCTCCCAGAAGGAAGGCAGGTCTTGGAGGCTGATCACAAAGGCTTGCATTCCAGGGAGATTACAGTGGTTTGGTTCTTGACCTCCTGCTAGCTTGCTTGTAATTCATGCTGATCCCTGTCAACTTCTTCAAGCGACATCCTTGGAACTAGCATAGATCATTTTGCTCTTAAGAGGGACACTCTCAGGAACCCAGATGACCACCAAGCGCTCCTTCTTGCTCTCCTTGGTCTTGTGGGTTGTACCAGAGGGCATAGCTATAGTCCTTGTTTGGCAGCTTCTAGACAAATGTGAGTGAGGGTCTTTGTGCCCTCTTCCTTCTTATGTCACTCAAGCAGAAGAGCGCTTCTTGCCCTTCTTCATTTTCCCCGGGGTTGTGGATGAATTGTGCATCTTCACATTACTGAACATCTTGAGGTCACCCTAAAAAACAGATGTGCTGAAGGCCATGTTTCTGCAAGTAAAAGAGACACAAGGGGAGCTAACTGAATAACTGAGCCAGTGCTAAGACCTTACCATACCTACTACTCACAGCTGCCCCCCCCCCCACAGTTCTGAGCAGTTTTGAGTGGTTTCCATTTCACATCTGGTTTTAGCTCATAATCTGATTGGTAAGGTATATGTAATGAGTTCAGCACTAACAGCTTTTTGTAAAAATCAGAATCTTAAAATTAAATTTTATTAAATTAAATTAATACAAGCTATATTTTTTATATGTAAGGATATTAAAATTAATCACTATTAGCTTTATCAAGATTTCTAACACATAAAGTCACTTGAGGTAACATTTTTATGGAGCTGGGAGATTTTTTTTTTCTCCATTTTAAAATTTATTTTTAAAATACATGTTTATTAGAATATTTTTAAATTTATTTTTTGTTTATTACAATTTATTCACTTTGTAGCCCAGCTGTAGCCCCCTTCCTTGTCCCCTCACAATCCTGCCCTCCATCCTCTTCTCCTCCTATGTCCCTCTCCTAGTCCACTGATAGGGGATGTCCTCCTCCCTGGAAGGGAGATTTTAAAGTAGACAATTTAGGACCAGAGGTACTCATTTTATGATCAAGGCCACATGACAGTGAAGTGATAAAAAAGAAGTCAAATGTCACTTTGCTAGACTGATACTGATGAACACCAAGGACTTCTAGAAGAATTTGGACGTCAGGTGAGCAGACGAACTCCTGAGGGAATTGACAGCATCTCCATATACCATCTTGACATAGTAAATAATTTACAGTAAAAACCTATCCCATGCATGGCAGTACTTTAGGTATTAATGGGATAATACAATATATAGGAAACTCTCTAGTTCATAGCTGTGTACAATCTGGTATTGGAAACAAGACTCAGCCAAGAAGACCATAAGTATTCAAATGAACTAAGATACCAGGATGATACAAAACAACACAGCCATTGTCTTGATTTAGTTTGTCTCAAAGGAGAAAATTTGAAACCCATCAGATCTGGGGGTGTCCAAAGTCCAGCTCTGCTGAAGGCAGTGTGCCATGTTCCCATGCATAGTGCCTCGAGGACTCAGTCTATATAGTTTTACATCTTGAAATAATGTTACGTGACGGTTATGCCACTCAGACATCTTTTTAATGCTTATCTAGTATTTGGCATCTAAAAATACTCTCTGGATCCAAGCAGTTTCAGAGTCTGATAGAGTAAATAGGGATTTCTTTTTAAAGTGCTTACATATAAAAATTACAGTCTAGGACAATTTAATTTGATGAGTCTGGCAAAATAAGTTATTACTGTCGAGTAAAGCAGTTGGTGTACATATCCTGAATTTAATAGCCTAGTCTTTAAGGCATTCTTAAAAATAAAATAATATAATTTTTTTGGTAGCAGGAGACAATAATTATGTCAAACTATATGCTAAAGAAGTGTCTTTAATCTTAATGTAAATGTTGTTTTTTTTTTAAATTGAGAGTTGTTTTCATTCACCTCATCTTACTGATTGCTCATATAATCTACACATTATATCAGAAGAAACGAAACTCCATTCCCCTTGAAATTTATATAACACACACATTACCTGCGCTAGCCTTATGCACGACCTTGTTATTTTAAAGTAATATTTACAGACTTACCAATGATCAGCTGATAGCTGTCCTCGCCATAAGGCTGTGTGGTATCTCATTCTTTCTCATCCTCTGAAATAGGATCCCTTATGCCTTGCTCTTTTTCCTCCTTTGAACAATCCATGGATGACTTTCAACCTGTTCTAAACTGATGACCCCCAGGAGGCAGAACAATATCATGCACAGGAATCAGAAGCCTAGATTTCCCTCTCTGCCTGGCCCCACGGAATTGCTCTGCGCTCTGCTCACCTCTACCTTCTTTGCTCATCAACTCAGGTGACAGTCCTCTCCCTAGAGAGAACTGCTTACACGAAAAGGTTCTTTCAGAGGCCCTCTGCTTTCCTTTGCTTTGCTAACTTTAGACAGTCTCCTCAGTAAAATCCTCACCTCTTTGCTCCATGAAAAGAGACAATATTCTTGAAGGCAACTTGTAAATGAGAAACCAGTACATCAGTGTAGTTCATTGCACCATTCTGAGCTGCCCAAATGAGCAAACCAAGCTGATGAGCAGTGGTCATGGCATGTGCTTCTGAAAAAGGGGAGTCCATGGTGGTACAGATAAAGCTATCTTTCTTTTTCTAAAAGTATTCATGGCAATTGAGGAACTTAAAAGTCTATAAGATGGAGAAAATAGAAAAGCTACTCTATAACCATCCAGTCATTTTTTAAATTCTTGTGTCTTTCTTTTCTTTTTTGTGTATTCTTTTATGTAGGGTCCTGTTCTGTCTCCATTGCCTGCCTTTGTCAATTAACATTATAGTATAAAACTTTTTGTGCTACTATATGAGCTATTCTATTTTGTAAAATATTTACTAAAATTTTGCACAACAAAAATGCTGGCCCCGGGCGATGGAAACATACCACAGGTATTAGAGCACTGAACGTTCTTCCAGAGGACCTAGGTTCGATCCCTAGCTCCTGCATGGTAGCTCGCAACTGACTGTAACTCCATACCCGGGAAATTCAGTACCTTTTTTTGACCTCCTCACACATAAAAAGGAAAAGAAAAAGATAGCACCTATTGCTAGCCCTCTAATCCTTTGAAGGAACTCAAAAGAATTCTAGAATTCTCTAGAATTCATCCATACTAATTACACATTCCTTTATTGAAACTAGTAAAACTTATTTGACATAGGAATTATATCTCAATAAACTTTTAGTTTAAAAATGTAATAAAAACAAATACAAATTTTCCCTTTCAAAATAATTATATATGTCTAAATATCTTTGCGTGTGTGTTTGTTTTAGAAAATGTCTCACCCTGTAGCTCTAGCCGACTTGTAATTTACTCTGTAGACTAGGCTGTCACAGTACTCATAGAGATCTGCCTGCTTCTGCTTCATAAGTGCTAGGGTTGAAGACATGCTAAAGAAGTGTCTTTAATCTTAATGTACATGTTTTTTTTTTTTAATTGAGAGTTGTTTTCATTCACCTCATCTTACTGATTGCTCATATAATCTACACATTATATCAGAAGAAACGAAACTCCATTCCCATGAACTCCATGAACATGCCGTCATGTTCAGCCCCAAATAATTTATTTTTATTTTTAATGATGAATAATGTAGCAGAAAAATAGAAGTATTATTTTGTCATTTGTATTTCACACTAATTTAGATGATAGCCTCAATATTTCAATTTTCTTTTTTTCAGATATATTTGCAAAGCCAAGCAGAAACTACAAGAAGCAAGTTTGCTCTTAATTTAAACAAAAATCTAAACTTATTAGAGGTTAAGCAAAGTGCCCTTTAAGGCAATGCTTTTCACTGTGGGTCAAGACCCCTTTGGGGCTTGAACTAACTTTTCATAGGGGTCACATATCAAATACCCTACATATCAGATATTTACATTACTATTTAAAACAGTAGCAAAATTACAGTTATGAAGTAGTAACGAAAGTAATTTCATGGTTGAGGAGGTCACCATGACATGAGGAATTGTATTAAAGGGTCTCAGCATCAGGAATGTTGAGAACCACTGCCCTAAGGATTTCAAGGAAAAAGGAGGACCATAGGGTAGGTAGGTAAGTAGGTAGAAATTAGAGACAAAGGCAGAAAAAACTCTGGGTAAGTCCAGGTAGGGTGAATTCCAGGTGCAGACATAACCAGCATCAGCAATGCCTCCAGATCACAGCAGCCCTGAGGCAAACAGTCTTTCTGAGCAGGCACAAGTTCCAGCAGAGACCAGTGCTGCCTCGGGCTAGCCAGGATGGCTCCTTCAGAGCTCTGTGATCGCAAGATGATCAGAACTTTTGCATGAATGCACTCAGGGTTGAGAAGCCTTAATCACCACAGATTGAATCTGGTGTTGGCCTGGAGGAACACTGATGGGCATTCTGGTTTACAGGACAGGGGAAATAAATAAATAAATAAATAAATAAATAAATAAATAAATAAATAAATAAATAGATAAATAAATAAATATAGATAGAGAGATAGATAGACAGATATCTTTTAGATAGATAGATATAGATATACAGATAGATATCTTTTAGATAGATAGATATTTTTTTCTACAAATGTCACCATAGTGACAGTGAGCATTTTATCAATCACTTCATAACCGATGTTACTAATTAATTTTTCAGAGGGAGTTTCTCGCTAGCCACACAGTGTAAGGCACTGCTGTATTTTAAATCTAGAAAAGATCTTGGAAACAGATCTAGCCCAACTCCTTTATCTTAGAGATTAAAAGGCTCAACCTTCAGAATACAAAACAAATCCTTTGCAGCCAGAGTTGAACCCAGGGTAGAATCAGGGCTCTTATTCCCAGGAAGCATCTCTCCACTTTCTTGGGCCACACTAAAGTGATAGTGTACATACGAGATGTACACTACTCTTCCTGGAGCCTTACAGTAGGTTGCCCACTCCATGGAAAGAGGTAGAACTTGATGCTCGTCACTTGCATTCTACGTGAAATCTGGTTTTACTACAATTCACCTGAGATGGTGGGTTTTCAGGAGTGACTCACCAGATAAACATTGTTATTGACCAAAGTTCACAAGTACTATGGCATACCTTCAGGAAGAGCAGCACAATCCTGTTCATATTATACGAAGACAGCCCATTATTTCTTCCTCTGTGTCTTCCAGTGCTTCCAAGTAGGACTGTGAAGACAGACTGTGACCTACATTTTCTCTCTTTCTATAACATGACTGTGATGTCATTCAGAAAGGCCAGCAGAAATGACAAAATATGACACAAAGGGTCAGAAATATTGCAAAACTGAAGGAATGTTACATTGTGCAAGGGACCATTTAACTAAGGATCTGTACTAACATGAGAAAACTAAATGGATGCCATTCCTTTCATGAAAAATCATTATGGAATAGTGTCTATATAGTTTACTATGATGCGCACAGAACCATTCTCTCCTTCCCTTCCTGTACATGCCAGCTGAACATTTGTTACTAGTGTTATTGTCATTGGAGCACTTTTCCTACTCACTAACTTAGACACAATCGAAGCAATTTTAAATTCCCACTCATGGAATACAAAATTACCATTAGAGGAAAACATGTTTACTTTGATTTATTCTTATCAATACATTTTAAGTATACACACACATACCTATTTCTGATTACTTTTTTTGTTCAACAATGTTAACTAACTATACAATTTTTTTGTTGTTGTTGAGGGAATCAAAAATAATTTTTGTCAGGTAAACTGACCAAGTTTTATATCTCAAATTTATTTATGTGAGTATTTTATTTTGTATTATAAAAATAGAAATGTTAGCAGTTATCTCTAACAAATATATTACACTTTGAAATCACCAGGTCACCAATTTTGAAGTTAAGGTACAGAAGTAGGGATTCCAGAGGGTTAGTGGTCAACCTGGTTTCTGCCCTACGTCCTCGCAGCATCAAATGGTCTTTGAGGAGGTTCCCTAACTCACTACCAGGTCCTGACTAGCTTATGTCCAATAACTTTAATTTGTCCGAGTACCCAGATTTGGTCACATCAGGGCATATTTGACCTTTGACCAATGCAAGCCTTGAGTCATGCTTTTTAAATTCTTATCCAAATGCATAGATTTAGAATCAGTCTTTCATTGTAGTGGGCAGGACTTGAGCTATGATATCATCAGGACTGTGTTCCCAGTTAAGCTCATCATTACTTCCTGTGAGATCAAGGCACTGAACTTCTCAGGCTCTCAGTATTCTAATCTGTAAAGGTCAACCGTCCTAACACTGAAAGAACAGGTGGCAGCTCTAGCACAAAGCCGCTATAATGGTGAGCATGATGATGGTGATAACAACAAAGGACAGTGAAGAGAACAAGGAGAAAGAGGTTGCTGGAATCAGAGAGATTAGAGGACCTGTGTTGGTGTCAGTGTATTCTCTTTCAAAGAGCAAAGCCAATTAGTTTAGAAGGCCACCATCAAGATGTCTCAGTTGGTAACGGTGCTTACCACCAAACCTGATGAGCTGCGTTCCATCTCCAGGACCCACATGTTGGAAGTATAGAACTGGTTCCCACAGGTGGCCTCTGGCCTCCACACCTGCACCATGGCACACACTTCCACAATAAAAAAGAAATATAATAATATTAAATAGTAAAATGAGAACTAGAATGTGCTTGATGAGTAGAGTGTGGGGATAACAAATGGAGTGCAATACCATAAAAATTTAGGCGCTAAAGCTATGAGGATACCTTTGATCCATCTCTACCCTCGAGGTGTACCGACCTAGCAGATAGGACACGTTTCTGTTCCAGCACATGAGGCAGTACCTGGCAAATGGCAGACCCTTAAGAGATAAGAGCTGTCCCTTAACAGATAGATTATCTCAGCCCACAGGCATGTTGGAGATAATGAAATTTCCCCACTATCGGTCCTGGATCCTCAGCTCATCTGTCTCTTGACTCAGTAAATGCATTGCACCTTCCCATTTTCCCAACTCTCTACACTAGAGGAACAAAGGATTTCTTCAGTATAATTAAGCAGTTCACATTTCTGCAGAATAACCATGTGTAGATAGTGCCTAATTTTCAGTTCATTTGTTTGTTTTCCAAGACAGGGTTTCTCTGTGTACCTTTGGCTGTCCTGGAACTCGTTTTGTAGACCAGGCTGGCCTCGAACTCAGAGAGATCCACCTTCCTCTGCCTCCTGAGTGCTGGGATTAAAGGCATGTGCCACCACTGCCTGGCAGATAATGGCTAAATAAATTCATCATGGTCTGTATTTTCAAATTCTATGATTTGTTTTCTGCTGTAACATAGTCATGGCAGGAGTAAATGACGTCTGTGAAATGGAATGCCTTTTTCTCTCTAATCACAGAACCAGACTACCTTTCTCATAAATAACACAGGTAAGCCACAGGACCAAGTTCTAGCCAATGAAATCCGTATACAAGCAATAAATTCCTCTTCTATAAGGTCTCTGTGTTTTCAGTTCAGCTCTATAATTTTAGTGTAGAGAATTCAGCAGTCCTAGAAGAAAGTGGAGCCAATGATGGAAGAAGCCCAGGTCTGAATAACCACATGAACAGAATTTGTTTCTCTTCTCGCCATATAGTCTACTCTATTGGACTGGGATCCAAATGAAAAATGCATCTTTATTATATTATGCCATGGAAATTTAGAGAGTTGGTTAATTTAGTACTCATCCCATTTCTGCTGTTATTTTGTGTGTGCAGGTCTTGCTCAAGAAATTGGAGTTGTTCTATGTTGATATGGTTACACAAGCACTCTCGTACTGGACATTGATGTTCATTAAACAAACAAATAAATAGCAATCAATTCTATGTCTAAGTACCTAATCTTTCCATCTCCATTACCTATCCCTTATTTATTAGACCGCTGCTTTCCCCACCCAGGTTGCTGAAACAGCCTTCTCTGTTTTTCAATCCTTGCCTTCACGTTTATTCCCCCAGCTCATTTCTTTGTCTATGCTGAGTAATCTTTCTCATATTAAAATCTGTTTTTTGGCGGGGCCGTGGCGGAGCATGCCTTTAATCCCAGCACTCGAGGAGGCACAGCAAGTGAATCATTGTGAGTTTGAGGCCAGCTTAGTCTACAAAGCAAGTCTAGGATAGCCAAATCTACACAGAGAAACCCTGTCTCAAAAAAAAAAAAAAATTGGTTTTATCAGTCTTTTGCATAAATTCTGTGACTCTACAGCACTTCACATCTAATAAATAAATTATCATACTTTTACAGCTTTTTTTTTTTTTTTTTTTGGTTCCTCACTCATTGTATGTCTCAATGTCTTATATGGCTCAGTTTTCCCCAAGAATGAATCTAAAACACTTGGGTTTCAAGGTCTAACTGGAAAGAACTGTGGACTACACGAGGGGCCCGTGCATTCTGCTGACTGGAGAAGTAACATACATCAACCACGTATGCATCACAACTAAATAAACTAACTTAGGAAACACAGGCAGTTGTGTGAACTATTGTTACCACTACCAAAGAGTGTATTTAGTTTTATGACTAATAAGTAAAATTTTACTCAGGTGTTTACTATTTCTAATTTTTTTTTTTTTTTTTTTTGTTTGGTTGAGTTTTGTTTTGTTTTGGAGACAGGGTTTTTCTGTGTAGCCTTGGCTGTCTGGGACTCACTTTGTAGACTAGGCTGGCCTAGAACTCACAGATATCTGCTTCCCTCTGCCTTCCAGAGTGCTGGGATTACAGTCATGCACCATGGAGCTTGGCTTCTAATATTATAAAAGGAACTTTTATTCTCCTGAGGTATACGTTGTCTTGAAGGCTTACTGCCTCTGTCTGCTAGCCTAGGCCTAGTCCTGGAAGCTCCATACAATCTAATCTAGGCCTACAATGTTTTCAGTCTCTGAGACTTACTGCTATATAAACTCACCTTTTCTTGTTCTTTTTGAGATCTTGCTGGCTGGTTCAACTCAGTGCTCTGGCTTACTCTCTTCTCCCCTGTCTTATTCAATTTGGTTTCTTTCTCAGCCCTTGCCTGAATTGCTCTGCTGAGCCTCAAACTAACTCCAGCAGTCTCTGGCTCATTCTGTCTTCACAACCTCCTTCTCTATTACTGTTCTGGTAAAACTGCCTCTTCTCTCTGTCTTGCCCCTAAAAGTAGCTTGCTTCCCTTTCCTCTCTCTTGGACGTATCTTATTCTGTCAAATCTCTTCTGATTTGTCACTATTTCTGCCACTCAATTAGACATCACTTCCAAACAAGGGTGCCTCCTTCAATAAACTATCTTTATCTTCACTGTTTGGGATTAAAGGCGTGGACCACCACGCCTGAATCTAAGTTTTTCTTTACCAGAAACTTGCTCCATACCAGGCAGTTCTTGAACTCAGATCTGCTTGCTTTTGTCTCCTGGATTAAAGTCCTGTTTGTATTCCAGCCAAACCACACAGACCTAGAAGCTCTTTGGATGTGATCGCTTCCCAGAGCAGCCATGCTCTGAATTAAAATTCCTCTACATAATATATTTTTTCAATACACAATACTAACACATAACCTCAGTCTTAAGCAAAGGGGCTATGTATTTTTATGTTAAAGAGGGACCCACATCTGAATATTTATAGATGGCTGCTCTACCCATTGCACACTATTTAGAATTCTTTGAATGGACAGTGACACTAATTTTGTACATGTGGCAGATTTTGTGGCTCAGACTGCTTAACCTCCAGTCTGGGCTACCGTGTTCAGAAAGCTGTAGGCATCTTTTCCATTTTCTTTTAAAATTTCAGAGTAGAAGGAAATTCAGGATAAACAATGGAGATGGGCCCATCAACCACCAAGGAACTGAGACAGGGCTGAGGTCCCGTCTTTGATTTCTTGGCTGATTTGCTGGGTGAGTGACTTTGTAGGCGCCTTTCCCACTGGAGAGCTCTGTGTCCCGTTTGCAGCTTCCTGATTGTTGAAAGACAGGTGCAGTGGCAGCAACATGGTCTTGTTGGAATCACTCTAGCAGTGGCCTCAAAGTCACAGTACTCTAGTCTTCTGGGAGTCATTCTTGGTAGGCCAGTAATAGCTCATTCTTCTGGCTTTCTCAAGATTGTGTTCTGGTTACCTAACCCTTCCCATCTTAAAATAGTACATTGTCTTTTTTCGTTCACTGAATCCTAACAGATACAAGCTTTTCGAAGTCACCCCAACTCATCCGGGCTTCGGGAAATAGTGCTGCAACATGAAGTAGGTGCTTCTGCTTCCCTTCTACCACCCCCATCCTCATCCTCCTCATCCGGTCCTCAGCTGAAGGACCCCCTTTGTGAGGAAGCCTTCAGCAACCCCTCAACTGAGGTAAAGACTTTTCCTTTCTGTGCTGCCACCTTCTACTAATGTGTGGCAATTAGATTAAGTATTTGTTTAGACAATTTAGCTAACAAACCTACATTCGATTGATTAGTAACTTATTCTCAGGTAATTAATTATATGGGTAAAGTGAAGAGATGAATGAAAGTGAAAAGAAAGGAGAAGAACAATAAAAGAAACAAGTATAAAACCAACCTATAATGACAAAACTGAGTAGCATAGGGAAGGATGTATAGTTTTCTTATATAATCATACCAGTCCAAGTTTATCTAAAATAGGCACCATGAGTTTAGTCTGTTTTAAATTTTTAACTTAATTTAATTTTTGCAGATAATCTAGCTAAGAGATACACATAGTCTAGACCAGAGATCAGCATTTTTTTTTTCTTGGAAGAAGACAAATAATAAAGACTCTAGGCTCTGGAGTCACACAATCTTGTGACAAATACACAACAATTCTCTTGAAAAAGAAGCAATGTATAAATGGGCAGATAACATAAAACAAATGCATCAGTGTTTCAGTAAATCCCTTGGTCTATGAACACTGAATTTAAAATTTTATATAATGCACACATGCACCATGGTATTATTTTCCCTTTCATTTTTTAAGCGCTAAAAGATGTAAAAAACCATATTGAAATACACAGTGGGAGAAAGAAAAGAGGAAACGCAGAGCAGATCAAAGGTTTATAAAGGCATCAGTTAGCCAACCCTGGTTTAGAGGAATAAGAAAAGGTCTGAGTTAATTAATTAATTAGTTAATTAATTTATTTAGGATTTTTTTTTTTAAATTTATGTGCCTGTGTTTCTGTAGGTATTGGGTACTCAAGAAAGCCAGAAAAGGGAGTTGCACACTCTGGTGGAAGCTGATGGATATGGGTGCTGGTAACCAAATTCTGGTCCTTTGGAAGAGCAGCAAGTTTATTTAACTGCTGATCCCCTATTTATTTATTGTTGAAGGCACTGGGGAATTGAACCCAGAGCCTCACACATGCTTGGAAACCACCCTGTCACTGAACTATATCTCTAGGTAGTTTCTTTAGTTATTAAGTAGACCTCTCGTTGTATTTCCATTTTTTCCTATATAAAAATGAAACTTATAAGGCATTACTGATAGAATTAACGCTGACATAAATAATGATGGTTAGAGGCTCTGAGACCTCAAGAACAAGCCTAGATCATATGTAAGTCTCTGTAAGTTCACAGGCAGTGGGCTATATCAAGTGTGTGGTAACTAACATATCACAGTAAAGTCTTAAAGTTCTATGTATCTGATAATATCCT